GCAAGCGTCCAATCCAGAGACTATCACAGGCAGAGCGATGCTTGGCATCAGAGTTTCTAATTCTTGGTATGTCCTACACAGCTTGCTGTTATTGTTCTGGGATAACAAGAAAGGGGCATTTTGGCTTTGGAAGCTGTGAAGCAAATAAAGAAGTTCTCAAATTGGCAACCAGGGCTATTTTCTCCCGTTCCCCCCATCTTACCAGTTGACAGCTTAATGTGAGAAAATGGCCCGCAATTTGTGATTTTCAGCTTAGAGTTCAGACTTCATTAACCTTTTGATTGCTGGAATTTAATCTGACACTTCACACAGACAAAATAGGATTTATACAAAAAAAAACTCCCTCCCTCAAAATCAGTATCCTCAAGCCTTCATAAAACAGACTAAAAACGTTAGCAAAAGCATCACTGTGAACGAATAAAATGGTGCTTGACACACAATAACCATCTCCATCTGTTATTTGATTGTTAAATATCATAATTCAAACACATGCAAATTTTAAGGCTTTCCTCTCCCGTTTGTAGTTGGGGCCAAAGCTCCCTGGGAACAGGCAGTGGGCGCAGCGGGAACCCCGCGCAGGGGCAGCCTGGGGACATGTAAGGGACAGGGTGCGCACACCAGCAGGACGCTGCTGCGGGCAGAAAGCAGATTTATTGCACCAGATCAGAGGGCGGACTGCAAATGGAGCCAATCCTGACACCCCAGGGCCAACACCTAAAAAAAAATTCCTCAAAACACCCAAAGGGCTCCTGGGGAACCACGTTGGGTTCCTTTTGGGTGTAATAACGACCTCTCACCTGAGGTCTTTTTTCCTCTTAAATTCACATGCTGTTAAAGGAAAAGCAGCCCTGCTTTATCTTCAAGTGGAAAGTCACTCTTGCTCATTTGCCATCGTTTTCTTGCCTACATTAAAGGCAGAATGCCTTGCAGCTCTAATGAATTCAGAACAATATCCCTAGGCTATAATGTGGGAGACGTTAATTAATACAGATAATTAGATATACACTATCAGGAGCCTAGATGGATAAGCTTATTCCTCATTAGATACTACCAAATTAATATATCTAATATGATGACTGTTTCCCTCTAATCAATGAGACAATTCACACAATGCACGTATTTGCTTATTGAGTTTAGAAAAAAGGCAGCCAGGATTTTTTATTTCTAGATATTTGTAAAGCGCCTGTCAATGCAACTGAACTTTGTGATGCTCCAAGGATGTGATCACTTTTTAAGCTCCCCGAAGCTTTCAAAATAGGAACCTTTTCTATTGTTTCACTGATCTTTGACTCCCATCTTCATTTTCAAGCACAAGGTATGCTGCGTGGGAGGTCTGAGACTAAGAAATTGCTACCCTCTCCTGACACTAATGAATTAATTAACAACATAAAAACCTGAGACAGACTCATGCAATAGCAATAAAATCCCACTAAGAAGATGTAACGTGCAGCACCACTCAGCAGATAGCTCCTAGGTGGAAAAAACCAAAGCCACTATCTGTAAAACCAACCAAACCCCCCAAAATTGCTAGCTAACAGTTCCTGTTCATCCCATCCCTCTCCACCACGGCATCAAGTCAGTTCTCTAATATAGAATAAAAGCAGTATTACTCATCACAGGAACACTCCTACATCACAAGAAGTCTTCATTTGCTTCTATATGCAGCAATATAAACACACAGATACACTGTACAGGATGGTTTACTTGGGGAATAGCTAAAGTCCTGAGCACAAAAGTAGAAAAACACACTGTCCTCCTTCCTAGCTATTCTCTTATATAACACAACTTTACTTTCTTTTGTTTAGCATCATAGCAACCCAAAATACTTCCATTATGGGGCTTGGTCCCTATGAAATAATTTTTGTTACTGTACGATCTTGATGCAAAAATACTTGCTTCATTTTTACTTAGTGCTTCCAAACACTTACATTTGGAAAATTCAGAATATTTAAAATCACCTTTTCCTAGATTCTCCTAGGTCATCTAGGTTTCTTGGACAAAATATTGTATTGTATTGAGGATATTGTCTGTATTTTAAGACATGTTTTAATACAACAACCCACCTTTCCTTGCAACCAAAGTGATTAAATGCATTTAGCCACATTTGGAAAATAAATGACTCTTATCTGAGAATGTTTCTCGAGAATCGCTTAGCCCTATTTCTTGCAAGGCATATATGTGAGCATGAGGCCACATGCAAAGTCTGAATACCTATATTCTAAAAGCACCATTTTTAACATAGCACAACATAGCACACCCAACTACCACTCCGGTCATGCTGGCCAAGTCCACCAAGAACATCACAGGTTCTTCACACACCACACAGCTGTCAGAAGATAGAAGCCCTCCAGTCTACATAAATCAAGCTCAAACTCTCAAGATATAACAGACTCTTCCCAAATTTCTTCTGCAGTGTCCAGGAAAACAAAAAAGAAAAAAAGAAAGAAAGAAAAAAAAAGCAGCTCCAATATCCAGAGTAACATAGCTACAAGGAAATCAAGTTTGAAGTGGACACTTATGTAAATGCCAAAATTCTCAAGACTAATGCATGCACTGAAATCTGATTTCATATTTTGCTCTCCATTCTAGTGGTCTAGATAGACTGATACAACCAATCACATGTTAATAAACCAGCTGGGCTTTCAAATATCCAACATACTGCAAACTGCTCAGTGGATGTCATGCAGATAAAATCCCCCATAGCAACATTTTCATGTAGCAAATGGGATATAAATTCTCACACAGAACTCTACACGTCATACATGAATGATCTATGAATTCCTGACTCAGCCCTCTTGACAATAACAGATTCAAAGGCAGAACTGTCCTAAAAAATCAAACAAACAAACCAAAAAACACACTGGATTTTTTTTTCAAGAAAGAGCTGAAGAATGTAGATTGGGAAGTCTCGCATTCTTCTTTCTTCTGAATCCACTGAAGATGGATGGCAGTCTTCAGCAAATCAATCCTAACACTGTTCAGGGGCTTTAGACTGATATAAGAACATCTAGAAGTTATTTTCTGAGGGAAATGTGAAGTCAAGCCCTGGGGGTTGTACCATGAAAAATAAAGGTAAGACAAAAAAAAAAAATTATGACACCCTGCCACCCCCTGCTTCATTTATCCCTCTGAAGGTCGATGGAATGGGCTCGTTGCAGTAGTAACCTGATCACATGAATGTGCATTTAAATATTGCCATTTCTGCAAATATGTATATGGTAGACTACACTGCAATTAAAGAAATCAGACTGAAAATTTATAAAAAATGGTTATGGATTTGCTTTTATAATTGACTTATTTGATAGAAAATACATTATTCATTGGTTGTAGTTAAAGTGTAGTAAATTGAGAAAAATTGCAAGACTTTTCAATAAAAAGACAAAATAGCTACACTCTTCAGACAGCAGGTGGTAAAACAAGATAGATACAGAAATGTTCCCCTATATAAAGAAATGAAACAAAACAGAAATGTGTGATTTTACTGCTCTTTCCAGCAGAACAACATCCCTACAGGACTTAGAAAATAGGCTCCTAAATTTGCTCATATGGAGTACCAGACATTAGAGTAAAACTTTAAAGCAGAACAAACTAGAAATGGGATGGTGCTAAGTCTTGAAGAACAGATTTTCTGCTTGAAAATATCAAAGTAATTTGGGGGAAAATCTGTGATTTAGGTTGCATCACTGATTGACATAGCATATTTCAATAAACCGAGAAGGTTTATTCTTGTTTCAGTTTATTCTGAAAACTTGAGCAAAAAGTCTGAAGAGCCTACTGGAAGCTAATGATTGCTGGATACTTCTGCAAAGCTCCTAGGTTGCTTTTTTTTTTTTTAATCAAAAATTAAACTAATTCCTGAAGAGATGAGCAGAACAAACGACTAACTGGAGTTTTTGCTGGGGACAGCTAAGGGCAGCTGTCAGTGCTGGCTCTCAGGATGTTTATTTTTCTGTGCCGGTACCTTTCACAGCATACAAATTCACCTAGACAAAAGATGACAGTGAAGTACAGGTGTCTATAAGTTGTATTATTTCCACAGTCAGGCAGTGATCTGTGGACGAGTGCCCCGTTCCTGCAGCACTCATGTCACCAGGAAGAATGGGCCCAACTCAGGGAGAAGCTTGAAGTACTTTCCACATGGTCGTCAATTCACTCCAAGGGTAGGTGTGCGGTTTCCTGTCCTTAAGCCCTCTGCTCTGGACACTGTTCGCCAGAGGAGCCAACAAAGTCTCACTCTCAGACTGGCTGCAGAGACCAGACTAACCCACTCTGCATTAGCTCCTGTTTCATCCCACAGACAGTGCAGGAGGAACAGCTAGACCATAACCCAAAGCATGAGGCGTCTCATTGGATCCACAACCTGTAGAAACATAGCTGCAAAATTCTGAAGATCACTCAATGTTCTGTGTCACAGAGTGATTCTGTAATGCCTGAGGTTGAAAGGGTCCTCTGGAGATCATCTAATCCAACTCCTCTGCTCAAGCAGGGTCACCTGGACCACACTGCCCAGAACCCTGTCCCTATGTCTTCTGAACATCTCCAAGTTGTTCAGGTCCATCTCCATCACCTCTCTGGCAACTTGTTCCAGTGCTGTTACCCGAGGCGCTTTGGGCATTCCTTCTTTGGCTACAAAGAAAGGACTTACCTGAAGCCTCCTTCGCCTTTGCATGGCAATACTAAACCCAAAACACTGCCCTACACATGCTTGCACATATCGAAGTGACAGCACTGCCGAGGCATCAGAAGTGACGCTGGAAGGGTCACAACCCCTCACAACACCATGAGCCTTCCTGCCCGGGGTGCCCAGCAGGAGACAAGCAGATGGAGGCGCTTATAAATAGAGCCTGTGAAAGGCAGCATCAACAGCAGTTGGCCTTTCAGCCTGCGCATGCTTTCAGCTGCTGCGTTATCACATGAGAATGATAGAGGCCTGAGCAAAACTTGGTATGGGAAAAAAAGAGAGAGAGAGAAATCTGAGGAAAAAAAGACCCAAATGCTACCTGACGGGCGCTCCCCGGGACTGGCAGGACCGTGATGGTCGTGTCCGTCTCATTCAGCGGGGAGTCCGTGTCGTACTCGGGCATGGACGGCGCTACGGACGAACAGAGAGCAAAGCGTTCGGTATAAACCACCACCTCCGTTTGGTAGCGCTGGCAACATAACATTAACTTGAGGACTACTTAATATTGCTCAAATGAAATGTCAAAATACTTTGCAAGAGTTATGACAAAATGTCAGAAACATTAAAAAAATCTGTACACACATTTCCATTAAAATCAAATATGAACTGGACACCCAAACCTTCCAGCTGGCTTTGAAAATCCTATATCTTGAGTTTTTTAAGATTTAGTAATCTTTTAAGATGGGATAATTTCCTCAATTTTACAAAGACTGCACCAATATTAAAGGACACCAGTTAGGACCAGCAAATCAGTGGCAGAGCTAGGAAGAGAAGGCAGGCATCCTGGCTCCTGCTTTCTCCTCTCATCCCTAGATCAGACCTCACACATCTTAGGCGTAGTTTTTATAGACAGGCTCAAGTTAGGTGTCTCATTGATTAGCTGGAGGGTGTTATGAAACAAAAAAGCATGAAAAGAGAGGAGCACAAATTAGCTAGGTTATGCCAGCGCTCAAATCTGTAGTATTTTACCCCAGTGCTTTAGTGATTCCGAACACTAAAAGCATTAGGCAGCTGCAAGGCTTCCAATGGTTGTGTTTGAGCAGTTAACCACCCACGGTGTCCATCCTTTCACTGAGGATCTTCCCCCAAGGCAATAAGAAAAACTGCAAAATATTCACATTTAACCTAACGAGTCTTATTTTCAAGACTATTCCTGCTTTGCTATTTTGTGTTAGGGTCATTTCACAAAAGTAAGATATGTTTCTTTAGACATCAATATTTTACTTAATATTGTTTCTTCTTCCTTCCCCAGTAGCAGACACCTGTTTGGGCCAGAGCTTTACAGTGGATAAAATGATGAGATCGCAAAATAGTGTGGCATCAGATTTATCCCAAAGATGCAAGTTTTGCTGAAATACCTTCAAGCAAATAGGAGAATTTAAACAAAGACCATAGTCCCCCTCAGTTCAGCTGCCACTCGCAAGGGCAAACTGCTTTGCAGGGGTTCCATGCTTAATCCTCTCACAGTGATTTCCACTGTAATCCTGCTTACAATCAGGAGTTTTATCTAAAAGCCCCCAAACTGTCAAGAACGGTAGTTGCTATTATCAGCTCAGCTACCAGCTTCCCCATCAACAGGCTGTCAGGGAGTTCAGAACGAAGGCAAAGCCTTTACAAGGATTTCTGTGGAAGGGGGCTCTGCGCCCAGGGCAGTAGTACCAGGCATTCACAGATGCCCGTCACCAGCTGTCTTCTGCTCTAGGTATCACAGCAGACCTTCCTCACCAACAGTCAGACATCACAGCACTTCCTAGAAATGCCAAAATAAAAAAGTTGTTCGGTGGGGGGATGTTTCTGCAGCTCAAGGCAGTGCCCCTAAAAGCTCCAGCTTGGCCACCAGAAACAGGCTGGACCTTCTCGACTCTGTAATTCTGCCCTGAAGCAGCTTCCGAGGGCCTCGCTGGAGCGCTGTCCTCACACAACAGAATTGCTCCTGAGACGTGAACGAGCTCGAGTGTCTCCTCCTGGTCGCACAAAGACCCGTTGGGTCTTCCATCTTCTGTGTAAACTGTCGCACCGGACACAGCAGATTTGCAGTCTTGCCTCCACACCACACTGGGTTAAGAAGCTGCTGAAAGACATCTAGGTCTTTCCAAGGCTAGCTAAGGCCATGGAGTGTAAATCAGTGATCGCTGCCTGTACTAGTTAAAAGACTGTAATTAAATACAGTAACTTTCTTATATACCCCACAGGGAATATTTAAGTAGTACCTCAGTAAAAGGAGAATTAGCAGTGACCTCTCTAAAGACGACATGCTCTGATCCTGGATTTAATGTTGATCTTCTACAAGGCTTTAGGAATTCTGCCATTTAACTCATGCTGAAGAGCTAAACAAAGGTGCACCTACACATTTACATATACTCACACATTCTTACAATGTCGCTTTTCCTTTTAAAAAATACGCTTTGCCAGAAAGTCTTCTACATGAAAATCAGAGCCAACTACTTTTCCCCTAGCTTCCTTTGGGACTGTGTCTTGGTGCAAGTTTAGCAGATATTTTCAAAGCACATGCACAGAACTGAGCATGCAACAGGATAAATCTGACGTCAGAGACTATCCTGGTGTCTGCATGGGGTCCGCGCCTGCCTCCTGCCAACCCGAGCCTGGGAAGGCAGAGGAGAGCAGAAAGCCAGAGCAAAACGTGCATGCACTTAAAAACCATGCAGGCTCCTAGTCTGCCCATTGAGTGATCTGACCACTCAATGAATAATCATGTGGAAAGAAAGTGAATGAAAGGGGAAATGCAGCAGGTCTGTGGTGCTCTTGTGCTTTGCTGTTCTGCACACAAGTGCAGGGAGAGTGTGCCAGGGGCTCCCCAGGGTGCAGGGCTGCAGAAACCACAGCGCTCTGGAGCTGCTCTGCACGGTGAGACAGGGGCTTCTGCACCAAACTCCACCTTCACACCCCGCTAATGGTTATTAGAGGGAATGCATCTATTTGGCTTCCTCAAAATTGATGCCATCACTTACTGCTAACAACTTATTTTTATTAACCAGTTTTAAACAAGGTCAATGGAAAATATGTATTACTGCATAATCTTTTCTATGCCCCAGTAATCTCAAGCATTACAAGTGTCACAAAGAACCAGTCCACCAGGCGGCTAAAATGAACACTTGTCTTGACTTTACTGAGAAAATAAAGAAAAAAAGAAGAAATAAAAAGTAGTTTTAAACTCTGGTAGCGAATCCATTTTAGTGCTATAAAGTGCTATCAATTAAATCCTAAAATTAAAACCTACACATGTCTGTCCCTTATTTTCTCCACCATCTCTCCCCCCATTGCCCTTTTTTTTGTTGTTGTTGTTCTAGCTACCACAAACTCCTCTTTTCCCTCGCAGGACGTGGTACCTTTCTTCCTTCGGTGTCTTTCAAATATTTGTGTGTTTACCCTACCTCTGCCCTTATTCAGAAGAAAATCCGCAGAAGTGCGTTCCTCTTTTCTGTTATATATTTTTAATGTCTTTCTAATATTAATTCAAATACTTCACTACTCCCACGTTGGTGACATACTAAAGATAAAAGTCACATTGCTGAAGGTGCCTACCAGACTAAGCATATGATATCAATAACTTATTATAGGGATAAATCATCTCTAGAACTAATGAAGGTTCTCAGAAAAATGATCCTCAGGTGAACTCTACCACTGCATTTGTAATCCACATGAACAGACACTGGATTGTGGCTCCTTTAAAAATCTGGCCTATAAAGCATGTATAGCAGTCACTAAGTTAAACACTTTTGTATTGTTTTATCTCTCTGTTAGCTGTGGATCTAAAGCACAAAGTCCTAGCAGGTTCCTTGTTCTCCAAAGCAGTACCTGAAATCTTAGTTGCAATCCGTGTTGTGATGGGTGGCCCAAAGCCCTTCACTGTGCTCGCTTTGATGGTGAATGAATACGTAGTCCCTGGATATAATCCTACAAAGAGGTGATGTGTTTCATTCCTTAGCTTGAAGACTTTCCCTCTTTGGCTGGACAGGTCAGCACTGGGATCCAGAGACCCAACGGCCTTGTATGTAATCTGCAAATGAAGAACAAGGACAGTAAGGTGATAAGGGGCCTTCTGCACCTGCCCTTTCTCTGCTCCCCTACTGCTCCCCTGCTCTGGGCTAGAGACCGAAAATCAAAGGACAGACATTACTTCAGTATCTCCAGTGTACAGACCTGCATTTGGATGCTGGCAAGCAAACACGGCAATTTTTCCAAGCCTTTACTTAATAAGGGACTAATTTATCTTCTCTGCTCGCGTTTCAGCACGTGCTGCTTGAAAACAAAAAGTGCAAAGAATTTCTGTTTGTTACAGATGTCAGACCTTCCGCAGCCAAACCCGAATGCGCTGCATGAGCTGCAGAAACTTCATGAGAACTTCCCATACCATTCCCCATAGCACAGGAAAACTTTTGGTGCAGGATTGGGACATATTTTCCATCAAGTATTTTTTTCTTCCAACAAACAGTCTTTTCCAAAACCCACTGAAAACAACAGGAGCCTTTTCCTGACTTTGGAATTCTTTTCATGCTCTAATGAGAGCATGCTGAAATGAAATGTCAAAATAAAATCACATGATTAGATGAGGCAAATACCATGAAGCCTTCAGCCACAAGACCTCTCTTCCTGCCCGAGTTTCTAAGGGAATTTCCTCCCTCCTGGCTCCTTGGCCTGGCTTGGCAGGATTCTGTGTGATGCTGAGCCTGCTTTTTGCCTGGGAGAGCAAGTCTGCAGCACCGCAGTCCTGGGGAGCCACCCAGGAACAACCCCCGGCCGGTGCGGATGCCGGGATGCAAACCCACCTTGGGAATGGGGCTCGGGGTGCGCTACGCTCACGGGCGACAAGCCCGGCCACATAGAGACACCTGGAAGCAAAACTCATGACTTATTCACCAGCCAATTCCTCCCCTCTGTTCCAAATTCAATCCAAAGGCAGCTCAATTTCAACTGAGCTGTCAATATAATATAGCGTGCTCTGCTGCTCTCCTAACCTTTCCTGATATTATGGGATCCTCGCTTATTTGTAATGAAACACCATGAATAAATCAAGGTATGTTAATATAGCAAAGGCTTCCATTTTCTATGAAGGCTTCCACAAGAACCTGATTCGCAGCTTTGCTGAAAGAGGCTTTGAAAAAAATTAAGCCTCTTGTTTTATGAAAGAAGGAAAATGCTGCCTTTGTAGGAAAAGTAAATGTGCCATGTTTAGAAAGTGAGGGTTTAATAACAGGACAGACGAGAGCAAGAGGCTTATCCCACTGACATCAAATGGTCAGGGAACGGGGAGGGTGTTTGAACATGGTTATTTGTACAGTGCTGATGGCCAAGACTGAACAAGCAGTGAAGCACATCCAGATTGACAGAGCAGCAAAAATAAGGAAAGCAGAACTCCTAAAGGAGCTAGATTTAACCAACTTATTCGGGATTTCATTGACACTCCCCTCCTTTTTTCCAGGAACTTTTTTTTTTTTTTTTTAATTTTCACTAGTTCCCAGAGACCCGAGAAGGATTCAGAAGCATCGTGGTCATTAAAACAAACTATTTAAAATAGGCAGGAGAGATCTTCACACTTGCTGCTTTTCCTTGGGTAAGCGGAGATCCACGCGAGCCAGGGGACAACACTGTGACACCTCTGGCTCATCGAGGTGCTCGGAGGCAGCAAGGGAATCTAGGCAAAAAAAACCATCTGGAATTTAAGGCTGTTTTTTGCAACTCACAAGAGAACAGAAAAGGAGCATGAGAGACCTTAAAACAACCTGGATTCAAAACTCACTAAAAGTAGTGAGGGAGCGAAAAAAACACTTGAGGGGGAGTAGGTCTGAGATGTAGGAATGAAGTTTGGGGGAGTTTTCAAAAACATTGTTCCTCGGAGGCAGGCTGCGTTACTGCCCCAAGGTTTGGAGGGATACAGGCTCAGGAGACACTCGTGACATCCCTAAACTGTGAGACACCCTCCAAAACGCTCTAAAACGCCAGGTTCTCCCCACTGCAGCAGATACAAACTGCAGAACAGACAACACCACTGCTTTTCTAAAGGCCCCAGCGTGGACCAGCAGACTGACTTCACGTATGGGCAAAGCATCCTGATACAGAAAGCTCCGGGGGAAGCGACTGCGTTTCCCCCACTCCCTCCTCCTCTCCCAGTCCTTCCTTCTGGAAGGAAGGCAACTCTGTGTATTTATTTCCACCCTGGATCTGGGGTTTTGGCATGGCAATGACATAGCAGGAGCTGCACTACTGTATTTTAGCAAGGATGGCACCAAAATGATCTGTGAATGAATCTATAATCTACCACACTACAACCAGATGAAATGGAGATGCAAGATATGGCCTTTTTTTCTCCTTAATATAAGTTAAAAGTTTTGAAGCAAGAGAAATTGCAGGGAACCCGAGTGTGGAATTGTTTTCAAACTATGGAAACTTCCAGCACTGGGGTCCTTTATAAGTGCCCTAAGCACGTCTGGAGAGGAGAGATGCCACCTCCCGGGAACAAGGGGCTGTCAGTAAAAGCATCGACTCCTCTGCTGACGTGCTGAGTGTTTATCCGCAGCTCCCGTTCCCAGGGACAGACCGTTTCACCACAAAACAAACACAAGATTCTGAGCGAGAAAATTAGATGACTCAATTAGTAGAGAGCAGCTGTTCTAAATTATTTTAACATATGCTATTTTCATGACAAGTCATGTCGCATAACACTCCCATAGTCTGAAAAAAAATGAAATAAAATTAAACATTTAAAAAAGCTAGACAAAAAAGCAAACAAGAAAATATTCAAAAATATATTCTACAGATTCCAGTTTAATTGAAAATATTTGATTTGATTCTGATTTGGAATAAATACAAGTACAAAGATGAGGGAATTTGTATCTATATATAAAAAAAAATCTATGTTTTGCAGGCTGGGATGCCTGCCTGAAGTTTGCACATGTAGTTTAGCATTTATGTATTGGCTCCACTGCAGCTCAATGGTTGAGGGGAAAGAACTTCCATGGCCCCTGCTACGGTTCTCCCTACAGGAAACAACAGAACCAAGGAACACACATGATTCCAATGCTTCCTTGGGCTCCCTCTCACTAAGCTGTGGAGAAGAGCATTACGCTGAAGCAACAGCAGCAGCAGATATAAAACAACCAGAAATTCAAAAAGCCACATAGCACAGGAATCTGGAAAAATAAGTAAGAGCCGCTTTTCCCACCACACCAGGAGGGATGAAACTCTGATCTCTGCACTTCTCCACCTGGAGAGGAATGATTTATTCCAGAGGCAGAGCGAGATGACAACTCGAGTCTCTGGTCAGTTCAGCTCCCATGTGAATTGTGCAAAATTTGGCTACATCAGTCCAAATGTGTCATGAACAAAATTTAAAGCAGGTCAGCTGTATGGAACGCAAGCCTATTGGAAACCACCAAAAGGACATCATAGATTTTGTTTCCGAGTGTTGACATGTATCTGCTGTGTTAGATTATGAAGAATAAAATGAGAACAGACGAGCATAAGCAATGTGATCGTTAGCAAGTTCACTCCTTTCTATTAGCTCGGCAGACATCCTGGAAAATTCTCCTGTCTCCTCCAGTGCCCTCTCACTTCCCATTAACCAGACCATTTTATTCCACCTTCCCCTTTGTTTTCTCTTTGTTTTCAACGTTGAAAGCATTAACTCCTTGCAATCAGCATGTACGCACGACATTAACGACTGCCGAGATCAAGATGCAATATTGAGAGCATTAGAGGCAGCTCTTCTCTCCTTTGCAGAGCCCAATTTAACACAGTGCTCCAGGGAAAAGCGAACACTTTACTCTCGATCATCATTTGTGACTGTAAAACTTCCATTACAACACGAGACTTTTTAAAAAACTTCCACCATGAAGGGCAAGACCACAAAGCACTACCAGAAGTTGGAGGCTCTTTCTCATTGCAAGCGTTTCTTCAAGAAGCAAATAAAAATCTTAATCCCCCTTAATTTTCACTCAGCTTGCAGGTTTGGGCAAGCGTGTTCACACATGCAAGAGGATCTGGCGATGCAGCTGGGGTTATTAGAGAGGCTCATCAAGTAGCCCAAGCAGCAGGCACAGATCAGAGCGCAGGACCAGGCATGGGAAGCTGAATTAATGCTGATGGTTGCCCCAGTGTGGTCCTCCTTCTGGGCTTTGTTTAATAAAAAAGTGTAGATTAAAATTGAAAAAAAAAAAAAACAAAAAGGGTACATGTTGCTGAGAACATGGTTAAGAGATTCAATGAGTTACCCTTCATGTCCACGTGTTCCTTTAGAAGAATGTATTATCACCCAAGCAGGAGGTCCTAAACTTAACACAAGACCAAACTGCAATTTAGATCTAATCTTTTCATTGAAATGGCCCTTCTCGCCCTCCAGTGCTATGCAGTAAAATCCTTCTGAAAACTCTGGGTGGCTTTTTTGGAGTGTCTTTAATCCTCTTAAATAAATCAATTAATTAACAAGAAAGGATAACCTGCTCAAATCACGGTGGATAAATCCATGAGGTCATTCCGCGCATTCCTGATAACTTTCCCACCTCTGAACAACCGAACCGTGCGGATTTCAAGTGCTCATAACCTTAAAACTGAGGGCAGCAAACGCAAACACCTCTGGATCGAGAATGTGCCAGTCCAGGCAAAAAAAAATATGCTCATATGTTGCTTTCTACAACAAACGATCACAGTACAAACACCACTTTATCTCCTATCTTTTGTCATACAGAATTAATCAATTGTGTGAGCAGAACTCTGCCCTCTGCAACAACATTTGCCATCCCACATTAGGGCCCTCAGCCTCCCCCTGATCCCAGCAACCGCAGCCCGTTCCAATGTGGATGGTAAGACCTGCTCTTAAATCAAATGCTACTTTGGAGGTACATTATGCCACTTTCTATCTATTTTCCATTTTGGCGACAGTCTGTGTAGCAGTTTGGGGAAGGCATCTGAAACCTATAAATCCGTGACATTGGCCCCCGTGTGCCCATCGCCGTTTTATGTCCCTGTCTTTATAAAACAGGCCGTTGAGCCCTGCCGTTCTCC